TCTCCCAATGTCATTAAGGTTGACCAAGCAAAAATTGAAGTCATAAAGAAGCTACCTCCTCCACATTCGGTGAAAGCTGTCCGGAGTTTTCTAGGGCATATCGGTTTCTACCGGCGATTCATCAAAGATTTCTCAAAAATCGCTAAACCTCTATGATTTATTAGCCAAAGAAATCGCTTTTGAAATCACTTCAACTCGTCTAAAAGCTTTCACCACTTTAAAGGAAGCTCTCACTACGGCCCCTATTATCACATCATCGGATTGGTCTCTTCCATTTGAGTTGATGTGTGTTGTTAGTGATCATGCTATTGGTGTGGTACTTGGGCAAAGAAAAAAGAAACTTCATGTCATATACTAGGCATCGAGGTTACTCCATGACGCAGAGCTCAACTACGGCACCACGGAGAAGGAATTTCTGGCTGTCATTTATGCTTTTGACAAATTCCGATTATATCTAATTGGTCAAAAGGTAATTGTGTACACCACACCGATCACTCGCCATCGAATATCTTATGAACAAAAAGGATGCCAAACAAAGGTTAATTTGTTGGGTTTTACTACATCAAGAATTTGACCTTGAGATCCGAGATAAGAATGGGAGTGAAAACCTCGTGGTGGACCATCTTTCACGACTTGAGAGCACATCAAACGCTAAGGAAGAAGAAATAAGAGATGACTTCCCATATGAGCAAATTATGGCCATCAAAGAGGTACAACTACCATGGTTCACTGATTTCATCAATTTTGTTGCAAAAGAAATTCTTCCTCCATCACTCAGTTGTCATCAAAGGAAGAAATTCCTAGGTGATGTGAAACACTACTGTTGGGATGAATCATATCTCTTCAAGCACTGTGCTGAAAGAATTATTAAAAGATGTGTCCCCGATGAGGAGATCATATCTGTTTTGAATCATTACAACAAACCTTCCTTGCGGTGGTCACCATGGGCCGGACCGGACAGCGGCAAAAATCCTCCAATGTGGTCTTTTCTGGCCAACACTATTCAAGGATACAAGGATTTATGACAAAGCTTGTGACCGGTGTCAAAGAACCAGAAATCTCAACTGGAGGAACGAAGTGCCACAAAATATGATGCTTATGGGAGAACTCTTTGATGTATGGGGATTGGACTTCATGGGGCCTTTCCTAATTCATATGGGAAAAGCTAGGAGTGGGCATAAAACCCGAACCGAACCGGTACCAAACCGATCCGTAATGGTACCGAACCTAATACCGGGTATTTAAACGGTTCTGTAGATTTTTATCCCGAACCGGAACCGTACCGTTTGAAACGGGTACGAGACCGGTCCTAGATTTTGAGAACCGAAAAATACCGGACCGTAAAAAATAATGCATTTGAAATTTTTATATTTTTTCCATACTAATAAATCTTTTTCATAGACCAACAATTTTATAGCCCAAGTATGTATTCAAGAATCCCAAAATAGCTAAATGTGTGTGTGTATCGCTAGAGTTTGGTTATATTTTGGATAATATATTTTGGTATGTATTTAAAGAATGTTATAGTTTTAAAAATCATTAATTACTACTCCGTATTAGTTACTAGTGATGTAGTGATATGACTTTTTTTTATCGAAGTGTATATGACTTTTTATTGTATCATGTTTGTGCAATTTTACAACTTAGTTAATATGATTTAAATCTTAGCTCTCAAGGTTCAACTATAAATTAAATTAGAACTAATATGTAACCTAGAACAAAGAAGAAGAACATTGAATTTTTCTATTATATTCAACAATTTGATGATATTCTTTTTATATTTTCACATGAACTTAGTAAATTAAAGATGATATTTATCTCGTGTATAATCCTTTTGCTATACTTTTTATTAGTTGTGTTGTACTATTTGTGTATTTGCGAATTTTAGTACTACGTATGCAATTACTTGTACTTATATCAATATTTCATGTGAGTTGGTTCACTACAATTTGATGTGATGCTATCAAGTGTCACGCCCCAGACCGCAATCCAAGCGCGTGTACAACCGCCGTATAACTAAGTGACGTCACCCACGAGTCAACCTCACTTAATTACACAAGGCGTTCGAGAAAACAATCCATCCATACTCAGTAGTAAACATACATAACAACATCACATTTAAACCAATGAATAGCGGAAATATTCAACGGTAAGTCATGGGCCACAACCGGCCAACAACATGGGCATGCAAGCCCCAAAAATAGTTTATGGTAAAACAAATATCCATGAGCAAGTGTTCGGTAGTTTGAAAGAAAATAAGGAAGCACGAACCACGTCTTCCTGATTTGATATCACCCATGAGAAGGTGCAAGTAGCAAGCCCTAGCTTCAACCTGAAAATGGTTGGGGCCCCCGAAGGGGTCAGTACAAGTACCGAGCGAGTAGCAGGCTAAATATAGAATAACTAGCGTTTCAAGTATAAGACCCAAACATAGGGTGATACTTAAATGAATAGTCTTTCCCCCAAGTTATGAAATACTTATTAGTATATATATACTTGGAAAATACCCAATCCGTAGATCACCGTTTTATTTGGGAAAAATAGTAATAGCCAATATTCTTGACTGAAAACCCCAACCCACCCATATACCTATGAGTGTATAGGACTCCTCCTTGTCCCTATTTCAATATCATAATCTATGAGTTTTGAGGATCAAAATCCTTGGGTACTCCACCGGTTTGTGAGTGTTAAGGACTCATAAGTCCTAGGGTCCTCCACCAAGCTTTGAGTGTTAAGTACTTTTAAGTACTAGGGTCCTCCACCAAGTTTGAGTGTTAAGGACTTTTAAGTCCTAGGGTCCTCCACCAAGTTTTGAGTGTTAAGTACTTTTAAGTACTAGGGTCCTCCACCAATTTATAATCCGAGTGTTAAGGACTTTAAGTCCTAGGGTCCTCCACCAATTTATAATCCGAGTGTTAAGGACTTTTAAGTCCTAGGGTCCTCCACCAAAATATTTTCCTATGATCAACCTTCTATCAACCTAGATAGAGTCTATATCATACTTAGTTACTCATAACTAATTCAATACATAAAGCTTATGTATCACAATCCATGCAAAACCATGCATTTATATAGATTTATATTTAATTAATACCAACCGGTATTAATTAAATCCTTTGTCCATCGGTCAACGTTTTCGTTGACCGCCATTTCATGCCTTGTGTGTATCAACTTAATCATCATATAATTAAGTTAATAATATTCATTTGTGCTTCTAATACACTTCAAACAAATATGCATTTCATATAATTCTTCATATCATATTCCATGCATCAACCATTAATTTCTTTCATACAAACTTAACCCTATTGGCTAATCACATGTTTAAATATCTTTTAAACATCATTATGAACTCATATAACATTTATTTAGGTAATCTCATAATTAACCCAAAAGTTATAAGATATTAAGCCGTCCACTCACCTTGAACTAGCGTTATGAAGTTCTACCCTTCTTGGTTGAACTCCGGTGAAACTCCGGCGACTTTTGGTCAACTCCGGCGAAAACTCCGGCGACTTTTCCAACTTTGTGAAATCACTTGAAATACCCTCTACAAGTGCCTTAATTATCCAAGCTTTTCCTCACCTTTTGCTTCTTAAATCCTCTCTTTCGGACCACTTTCTCCTTGAGCTCGTGCTGCAACAATGGAGGCTGGTTTGAGAGCTCTCTCTTGCCTCTCCTTGATGCCTTGGCCGAGTACAATCATGAGGGAAGAGGGGGATGGGTTCTTTTTGTCCCATTTAGCTAATAAGGGTGGGAGGGACCCCTTTGATGTCTCCAATTGTCTCACCCTCCCATCAAGTGTACTACCAGCTTTCATTTAGTCAATTTGAGCACACAAAAACGTGGGGTGGCCCCCACCCATGTGGAAGGTCATCCCTTTGTGTCGCGAAATGTATATTCGGCCCCGAAAGTTGTATTTTTCGGACTGTTTTAAGTATATTTTATTTTATCGGGTCAAATAAAATATATCACGTGTTCTCAATCATAATGTCCTTTTGAAATAATATATATTCCAAAACTTAAATTTAGAAGTCTCCGAAATTCATTTTCGGGCTGTTTCTGATAAATTGTCGGTACCGGTATTTGGGCTTCTTTTGACCAATCGGTCAACCCCAGGCCTTCCCATGGCCCAAGTAAGTTGTCCACCACTATATAAATATTATTTCGACCCGTAAGGATAATTTATGTGGTCTCGGGAATATCGGGCGGCCCCCGCTCCCGGTGTGGGTCCCACGTGCAATTTACTATTCACGCGAAAGAAATAATAATAAATTTACAACTTCGCAAATTCATTAATCCTTTAATAAGGTTCAACATATTATTTACATAAAAGTAAATATATCTGGGGACGGTGTTACATCAAGTAATTGCAAGATTTGTCCAAAATTTGTAGCATGTATTTGACATTGTACCGTGCCGTTTTGTACCGTTCCGAAACAACATGGTACCGAATGGTTCCATCCTTAGAACCGGACCGTACCGAACCGTTTGAAACCTCACGGATACATTACGGGTTTTACTAGATTACCGGTAGGGCTGTGCAAAAACTGGGTCAAACCGGCAAACCGGACCGGAACCGGACCGGTTAAACCGGATCCGGACCGGACCGGTATGTAATCCGGTCCGGTTTTCTGTTATAGAATATAAGGGAACCGGTTTTCGGTCCGGGTCCAGTTAATACCCGGATATAATCCGGTTTAAACCGGAAATAACCGGAAATCAATAAAACACTCCGTATTCCCAAATTAATAAACTCAGCGGCCAGATACGTAACAACCTTAACTCCCTTAAGGCCTTAATCGCAACTCGCAACTCGCAAGTCTAATTCCAAAATCCAAAGAGCAGACTTGTCTGTTCATCTTCTTCGATCCAGCCGGCCTGGTGCACCACCGTAGGAATCCGGCCTGAAGTTGGCGCACCACCACATTCTTCTCATAATGTGTTGTTGTAGGCCTGCGGCGGTGAGCAGCCAAGAGGACGGCGGTAACATGTCATAGGTCAGAGCAACGCGGGACAGTCATTCCCTAGCTTCAAGCCTTCAAGCCGCAAGGTAAATTTGATTTACTGAATGATTATATTTGTCAACAACAGTCCATACGTTTGTTACTTTGTTAGTATATTTATCAATACTTTGTGAATATAAGGAAATTGAATATTCATATTTGTAAATACATTTAGAGTATATCCTTTATATGAACTTTCTAGTTTCTACTTTGTATATCTCAATTTTCAAACAAGCATTGAACTCAAATCCTTTCAAATACATTCTGTTAATTTCCTATATTTCAACTTATTTGCTCAAACATTTTGTCCACCATAATGTATTATTTTAGGTACTTTGATGCTAATCATGAATTTTCACTACTGTTTTTCCATGAAAAGTGTACTTTATGAGAGAAAATTTGTGAAAGATTCAATTCATAAGTGAGTAAACTTATATGAAAAAAATAATTAACTAAATGAAATCTTTTTTTTAACCCCGGAAAGCAAACCACCAAAATCAGTGGGGCAGAAGCCGGGGGTCAACTGCCAGAATTTTATTAAATAATTGAAAAAGTACAAACAGAGAAGGAATTAACTAAAAGAAATCATAAGTGAGGTATGATGATTATATATTTATATGTATACTGTATACATAATGTTATAGTTATATGTATAATGATAATATATTGATGCGACTAGTTTTTTTACTACTAGTTTTATAATTTTATACAGTACTACGTATACCGTATACATGATTTCTAGGATTTAATGACTAGTGTTTTTACAAAATTGGTAATTTGTTACCATTCAAGTTGCAAGTTGTGTTACAGTAACTCTTCAATAATTAGGTTTGTGTATTAGTTTTCTTTTTTTATACCGAGGTCTGAGGTAGTCTATCGTTAAGACATTGTAAATTTGATTGCCTCAGCTGACCTTTTTTATTTGCCAAATTGCAATTATCAAATTCCATGGACAATCAACTTTCTGACAATGTAAGTTGCTATTTTGTGAATTACATAAAACACACATTATTCATTTAAATGAGTATTAATTCATTTAATTGTTGTACTTATAATAGATGTCAAGCAGTTCACTACCCACTTCTGGTGCTCGGGGCAAAAAGCGATGCATAATTTGTGAAGAAATAGTAACAAGTTATGTTCCTGTACCTCAAGAAACTAATGATGAAGTTGGTCCTCAGCATGTGGATGCGTATGTGCAAAAACAGCCAAAGGAGGGCCGCAACTATGTAAAAAGAAATTCAAAAAAGAAGAAAGGTGAGTACTGGAGATGCTTATGGGAGTATCTAGATGAAGATAACAAGTTAAGAGCAGAATGCATCTATTGCGACAGCACATTTGCCGCAGATACTAATGTCAATGGAACAACAAATTTGGAAAATCATACATCGAATTGCAAAAACAGCCCAGCTAATAGAAACAAAGGAGGTAAGCAAGCTCACTTGATTGATAATTATGTTGTTCCTAATGGCGGTGAGGGTAATGTTCTGGGTTTTAAGGAGGGTGTTAAGCTAGAGGAAGTTAGGAAAGCATTAGATCATATGCTTATTATTGATGAGCTGCCATTCAGATTTGTTGAAAAACCCGGGTTTAGACATTTTGTGAACATTGCATGTCCACTTTTTCATATACCCTCTCGCACAACTGTTGCACGTGATTGCTAAAAGATATATCTTGAGGAAAAGTTGAGGTTGAGGGATTTTTTAGCAAATCGTGCCAGAGTTTGTGTCACTACTGACACTTGGACATCAAATCAAAGAATAAATTATATGTGTCTTACTACCCACTTTATTGATGACGATTGGAAATTGAATAAAAGAATCTTGAATTTTTGTCCGATTTCTAGTCACAAGGGTGAGGTAATTGGGAGGGGTGTGGAAGATTGTTTGAATGCTTGGGGTTTAGCTAATAAGTTGTTTACCGTGACGGTTGATAATGCTAGTTCAAATGATGTTGCGTGTTTGTATTTGAAAAATATGGTGATGCAAACTGGTGCCATTAGCGATGGTAATTTTTTGCATGTGAGATGCATTGCACATATCATTAATCTCATAGTGTGGGACGAGTTGAAGGAATTTGTTCAATGTGTTGATAAGTTTAGGGCTGTTGTGAGTGATATACTTATATTTTACACACTTTTTAGGCTTAGTTTGTTGTTAATTTTAGTTATTAAAATTCTACTTTTGTACATATTTTTATTATTTGTCGTTAGTTTGTATTAGTGCAGTTCTATACGGGTATTTTATATTTTCAGGTACATTTGATGCTATTTCGATACATTTGAGTGTGAAGAAAAGAAGAAAATAAAAATTCAAGTTGGAGGTCAATAAAAATGGAATTTCCTTGAAAGCAAATAAGGAGTAAACTGAAGAAAAGAAGCAAAAAATGAAATCTAAGGAGTTGGGGATCGAACATAGGTCATTGGGCAAGAAGCAAACGTAATGAACCAGCGAGCTAGTTCTCATTGTTGTAAAGAAGTCAGCTAGCAATTGTTATATTCCTTCTGAACGCAGCAAAGAAAAGAAGAACAAAATGTTGAAGCCGAGACGCTCGTCCGCGCTCGTCCGCTGAGCTGCTGCGAATTGTTGGAACTTTACGGAGCATATAGTTTATGCCCAACAACAATGAGAACTAGCTCGCTGGAATATAACTTGTTTGTGATTTAAAAAAAAGGCAAAAAAAAAAATAGTCTAGGTTTTCCATTGCTAAAGGGGCCACATCCGATCTCAAAGGGATCTCCCAACGTCATGCGGATAAACAATTCCAGATTCGGCAGCACTTCAGGGAAGTTTTCTTTACACTCCTTTAATTTCTTTTCCACTGAGGACAGTGCAAATTTTAAGTGTGGGGGAGTGGGTAGTTCGACCCTGAATTCTTGTGTGAATATTTTTTTTTTCTTTCTTCTTGTGTGCTTATGTGATTTTGTTTTATTTTTATTTTGTGTGTTTTCTTGTGAATAAAGACCATTCTTGTCCAAAATGCAACAATAGACCAGCAATACATTAGTTTACACTTTTTGTTACTAGTTAACTCCATAACTTTTTAAATTATTCATTCACCTCTTTTGACGAAATGTGGTTTGAGTTTGAGAAGTGTCACTGTAATTTTTTTAGAGTAACTTAGTATGGGCTTTGAACTTGATTCTTTTTAACAATTTAACATTAAACACCTTAGATTTTATTTTTCCAATTTATTGCTTTAATAGTTGAATTAGTTAAAGTTTATGCAGTTTAAGATGTTTATACATTTATTCTCCTTGAAAATTTTATTTGAACTTGACACAGTAGAAATGATTTAGGCCATCTTTGTTTACCCATCAAGCCAAACACTATCCCTTTGTAAATAAATAACACTTTCCCTAGTAACCCTGTTTGAGCATGATGTCGGTACCATGCCGATTCAGTGTAAAAGTGTAAAATAACTTACTTCACTTGTTACTAATTTTTCTTGTGACCTTGTAAATACATAACCTTGTGAAATCCTACCCAAATCATTTTTGTTTCAACCCTAGAGTAGTTTGTATTGATACTTGAGAGTGGATAAAATGGAGCTTCTCTTAAGTGTCATATTAGTGAAGTACATAATTGTTTGTAAATTTTGGGGTCAGTTTTTCATTGTAATATTTAGTGTGTGCCTTCTTTGAAAAAAAAAGTAAAAAAAAAAGTAACAAAAAAAAAACAAAGAGGCACATTAATTCCTTGTTGTAATTTCTTCTGTAAAACCCCATTTTTTCCAATTTATATTTCTCATTGTTTTGTATGCTCCAAGTGCTTGTAAATTCGTGTGATTATCCGCTCAGTATAAGTGCAATCTAACTCTCTTTGTAAATTCCTACACCAAACCTTTCTTTCCACTAGCCACATCATTAACCTCGTCAAAACCCGAAAAAGTCCTAATTGATCTATTTGTGTCATTTTATTTGAATTAAGTTAATTGGAGAAACTTGTTCTGCATAACCCGAACTAGTTTAGATCTATAGGTGTTTGTGTTAAAAGTTTGATTTGAAAATCTTAGTGATAGCACAAATACTCAGTTTACTCTCATTGCGTATAGTGGACCATTTAGTGGACATTAGAGATGTATGTGTCATTTGTTTAATTATGTTTGTAAATTTTACCAAATTGTGTATATTTTTGTGTTTGTTGTTTGTTTTGCTTGAGGACAAGCAAAAGCCTAAGTGTGGGGGATTTGATGTACTTATATTTTACACTTTTTAGGCTTAGTTTGTTGTTAATTTTAGTTATTAAAGTTCTACTTTTGTACATATTTTTATTATTTGTCGTTAGTTTGTATTAGTGCAGTTCTATACGGGTATTTTATATTTTCAGGTACATTTGATGTTATTTGGATACATTTGAGTGTGAAGAAAAGAAGAAAATAAAAATTCAAGTTGGAGGTCAATAAAAATGGAACTTCCTTGAAAGAAAATAAGGAGTAAATTGAAGAAAAGAAGCAAAAAATGAAATCAAAGGAACTGGGGATCAAACATAGGTCATTGGGCAAGAAGCAAACGTAATGAACCAGCAAGCTAGTTCTCATTGTTGTAAAGAAGTCAGCTAGCAATTGTTATATTCCTTCTGAACGCAGCAAAGAAAAGAAGAACAAAATGTTGAAGCCGAGAATCGATCCCATGACCTCCGAGCTTTCCCCTAAGACGCTCGTCCGCTAAGCTGCTGCGAACTGTTGGAACTTTACGGCGCTTTGTTGTACATAAACTATATGCTCCGTAAATTCCAGCAGTTAATCATTAATCATCTTATCATTATATTGCCTTAATCCATCTCCTTCCACACATAGGGGGTGTTTGGATCTGATTCTCAAAACTGATTCTGCTCCTTCAGGGAGCAGAGTGAAGGAGTAGAAGCAGAAGCTGGAGTGTTTGGGTGAAATTCCAGAAGCACTTCTGGAGCTATAATTTACTCTCAGAATCAGTTTTTTTTAGAAGCTGGGAGGTACCAGCTTCTGAAAACTGATTCTGATTCTGCTTCTGCTTTTAAAAAAGAAGCAGAAGCAGAATCAGTTCCAAACACCCCCAAAATCTCGAGCCAACTTCTCTCTACACCTCCCAGAATCACTTCCTCCTCCTTCTCTCTTCATTCTTCACCTCCAAATCATCAACCAATCTTCAACATCAATTAATCACTTTCTCAATCAAGATTAAGTTAAGATTAGCACCAAGCTCCAAGGATTGTCATCTATCACAAGTCTGATCTTCCTTATCTCTTTAAATCTTGTACTTTAATCATGAATTCATCTATTTCTAAGCTTCCCAACATGTATAGCTAAATAAATTTGGGGCTAGAAATTGGTTAATTAATTGTTCTTATCATGTCTTAATTTGTATTGATTTTAATTGTTAAGTTTGTTCTATTTAGATTGTTGTGTCCAGAAAATTAATTAAGTTATGTTTGTGATATATATTATGAGTACTCAATCATAAACATATTGTTTGATAAATACACAAATGAACACTTTCTGAACACACCGTTAAACTTCTTTTACCTTGTCGCGGATTGAAGTTTTACGGGAGAATTTAATTATTTAATTATATTATTTACACCACGGGGTTGGGTAAATAATATAGTTAATAATTAAGGTTGTCGTTGCACTTAAACAACTAGTCTCGTTTTGGCCATCACTGGGAAATGTTGACTAGTTACTTATTTTAGATGACTTGTGTTGGGTCCTAAAATATTTATCCACAACTTCTCACAATCTATCTACGAATAAAATTAGCAATTATTTCTTTCAATTAAACATTGAACAATTAGTTACCAATTTCTACCCCTACTTGCTATTTGTTGAACTTTGTGTTGATAAAAATCTCTCATCTCAATCACTTTTATTTTATTACTTTTCCAAGCAACCACAAAATCAAAAGAAACGCATTCCTAACTTTAATCCTTAGTTTGTGCTTAATTATTTTATTTCCCGCTTCTCTGTGGTTCGACACCCTACTTCCTTGGGTAAAAAAATAGTTGTGTGCCCATTATATGCTACACACCAGTGAGATACATTAAAAACTCTCCCACTAGATTGATGGTTTTTGACCAACAAGTGGAGAAGTACAATATTGATTGTAACTTATCCTTGTCTCTTGATTGTCCTACGCGGTGGAACTCCACATATGATATGTTGCACACAGTTTTGCAATATAAGGTTGTTCTTGTGAGGGTTGATCTACCTAGAGAATTGGAAGATAGGGAAACTTTAGGCCCCCTAACTCAAGAAGATTGGACGACTCTAGAGTATCTTGTGGTTTTTCTCAGAGAGTTTTATGATTTGACAAAAAATGTGTCCGGCTCTTTGTATGTCACGAGTAATACTCTTTCCTTCCATAGTTGTCATACACTTAATTTGTTGAAGAAATGTCTTGGTGATAAAGTTGAGGGTTTACGGAATATGGCTTCTAAGATGAAGTTAAAGTATGACAAATATTGGGGAAACATTGAAAAGATGAACAAGTTGATTTACATGGGTACTATTCTTGATCCCAACTTTAAGTTGATGGGTGTAAAGATTGGGCTTTTGGATACCTATACTGAGGAGGAAGCAACAACTCTATTTGAAAACGTAAAGAAGTTTGCTTATGAATTGTTTGAAGAGTACAAGAAAGTTTATGCTCCTTCTGTTGTAATGATGAGAGTGGGATTAGTAATGAGTCAAGATCATCTTCTTCAATGGTTGGTTCTACTATGTTGATGAATCTTGTTAAAGATCGGGTTAAGCAGATGAGTGGATCCCAACATAACTTAAGGGGTGAGTTTGATCGTTATTTAGATGAGGAAAGGGGAGAT